TGGACATGCGTTACTTGTGTTCAAGCTCTTTCTTCAAAAAACATATATTTAAGTTAGCTTATAAAGTAGTGGTCTCCCATAATGGGTTTTCATACATCCTTAGTTTTGGTTAACCTCCCCCTTACCTTCTCTTCTCCTCTGCCCTTTTACCTCCTTTATTTCCTCTTCCTCCTTCTTGTCTTCCTGTCTCCCTTCCTTCCTTCCTGTCTCCCTTCCTTCCTCCCTTCCTTCCTGTCTTTCCTTCCTTCCTGCCTTCCTGCCTTCCTTCCTTCCTTCCTTCCTGTCTTTCTCCTACCCCCCCCTTTTTTTTTTGAGACAGAGTTTCTCTGTGTAGCAGCCCTGGCTGTCCTGGAACTCACTCTGTAGACCAGGCTGGCCTCAAACTCTCAGAGATTCGCCTGCCTCTACCTCCTGAGTGCTGGGATGAAGCCATCACACCTGGCTCCCTCAAACCATGTGTTCTACTATCCTCTAACCCTTAAAGCTCCTTGGCTTTCAACTCTCATAGGGCCCCTTCTAGCTTCCTGGCTTATATAGATGCACCAAATTATACACACAAATTTCCAAGTTTGAAGCTAGGATCCACACGAGAGAAAACATGTTGCATTTCCAGGGCCTGAGTGATCTCATTGGTGTGATATTTTCCAGTTCCATCCATTTTTCCTGCAAATTTCGGAACTCTCATTTTTCTCAACATCTGAATAAAATTCCACGGTGTTTATGCACCACGTTTTCACTATCCATTCATCTGTTGTTGGACATCTAGGCTGATTCTGTTTCCTAGCTGTTATAAATAGCAGCAATGAACATGTGCTGATACTCCTGTAAAAAAGATAGAGTCTTTCGGTATATGCACAGGGGTTAGGTATGGATTGCATCATGTGTGGTTCTATTTTTAGTTTTTGAGGAACCTTGGCACTCATTTCCATAGTAGCTGCACCAGTTTACATTTCTACCAACAGAGAGTAAGCATTTCCTTTCCCCATCCTCACAGCATTTACTGTTTGTTTTCTTGGTTTCTGACTGGGTGAGGTAGAATCTCAGAAGTTGTATTAATTATATTTCTCTTATGGCTAATATGTGCACACACACATACTCAAAGAAAGAAAGAAAGAAAACAAAAAGAAAATTGACCTCATCACATGAATACTAGTGATTAGACCAGCCTGATGGTCAACTCATATCACAGACATTCAGAAGTACACTTTATTGATGCCCTAGGTGTCTCTCAACCCAATCAAATTGACAATCAAGATCGGATTCTGCTCCAGCTGTTGGATGTAGAACATTGATGAGGCTGTAGAAACATTCCTACCTAGGTCCCAGGCACCTTCCTCCACACTGTGGCCAGGAAGATGCCCTATAACATTCCCTGCCCAGATGCCACCACCACCACCTACCTCCACAGTGTGCAAAGGCCTCTTACCATCTAGACAGAGTCAAGGCATGGGGTGAGAATCCACGTACAAGTGTGAGTGCCCCCCTCCCCAAGTGTGGTCTACAAAGAGATGGGGGTAGGCCCTGACCTGGAAGCTATGCATGCATTAATGAGGAAGGCTGGTTGGAGGTGGTGGCACACACCTTTAATCCCAGCACTTGGGAGGCAGAGGCAGGCGGATCTCTGAGTTTGAGGCCAACCTGGTCTTACAGAGTTCCAGGATAGTCAACGCTACACAGAGAAACCCTGTCTCAAACAAACAAAACTGAAACCTGACCTTCCTCATTATCTTGTAGGTATGCCTGCCAAGGAAGAAGCCTAGACATATCCACTCATATTTGTGTTTTAGCTTTGTTTGCATTTGTAAATATTTAAACACAGTGTGTATGAACTTCATTTGCGCTGTTGCCTTGAGTGACAAGGACAGTGCTAGCAAGGAGCATGTCTATGACTCATTGTTTTTTTGAGACAGGGTTTCTCTGTGTAGCTCTGGCTGTCCTAGAATTTACTCTGTAGACAAGGCTGGCCTCAAGCTCACAGATCAGCCTGCCTCTGCCTCTGCCTCTCAAGTGCTAGAATTAAAGGCATGTGCCATCACTGCCCAACTTCTATGGCTCATGGTTAAGTGAAATGTTTTGCCAGTGTACAGTAGAAATGGCCCCTCAGGATACCAAGATTTCTGTTCCCTTTATTATGAATGAAGTTGATTATCTAGCTGTTTCGGTCCCCCCCATCATTAGGGTTATTTTCAATTTCTAGAAGCTCTTTGTTAGGAAGGTTAACTGGGTGTGATCTGTATTAGGGATATTTCTCCCAGCTTGTCACATGTCTTTTAACATTGGAAGCTTCCCCTCATCTCCTAAAACCTTCTTCATATATGATTGGGTTATTTTTACTTTTCTTAATACAGAACATTAGAAACTTAAACACATCTTTGAGTTATAGTGAACATAATAGAAAATGTCATGAGATCATTGTCAACAGCCTTAAGAATAACCACGAGGCAAGCACCTTGTAGCTTCCACCCATGAGCCCTGCAAGCCTGACTCCCTCCCTGCCTACCTCCCCCAGTGAGGCCCTTCCCTTTCACTCCAAAACCCCTGACTTCTGGGATAAGCACTTCCTTGCCCTGTGTATGGCTTTTCTCAGGGGTCGGCAGGGTTTTCTCAAGTGTCAAAGAGCACATACCTTAGACATTGCAAGATCCATGACCTTAGCCACCTGTGCTTTGTTAGCCATTGAAGCTCATAAACTGCCACAGAGTACCCAACACTTGACCAAGGCCACAAATCTAAATTTGTTTTTGTTAATGGATGAAAACAAATCTAAATTTTATGTGATTCATGAAACAAAACATTATTCTTTTGATTTTCCTCCAGTTGTTTAAAAATGCAAAGCTACTTTGTAGCTCATGGCATAAACGGTCCCTGGGATTTGGCCCAGGGACTTCGGCTACAAGTGTGTTCCCTCCATATACATCTCTAAACAGCTTGCCTGACTCTGAGACCTTCAAATTCAGGTGAAGCATTCCTTGTCTTTATTGTCCGGGGCCAGGGCTTTTCAGGTGTGGGGGTTTGGGATACTTCTGTATTTATAATGCAGTATCTTTGGGGCCAAGTATAAACACCCAACTCATTTATGTTTCATGTACACCTAGCCACATAGCCTGAAGGTAATTATAAACAGCATTTTTAGAAATTTTAGGCATGAAACAAAGTTTCATGGTCTGGGATTTCTCAATTAAATTTCCGTACAAATCAAATACAGACTTTGTAGAATTTTCATCATTTCAGATACAGAACCCTTATACTGAGGATATGCAGTCTATACGTGGAATTATGCACATGTGAATGAGTGTGTGTGTGTGTCCGTCCGTCCGTGTGTCCTTCTATGCTACACTCCTTCCCTCATCCTCATGTTTCTGAGCTCTTCCTCTGTAGAAGCATCTTATTATTGGGAGGTTTTATGGATGAGCCTTGTTCTGGATGTAAATTTAGGCCAACCCCAAACTTGCATTCCTGTTATCAGAATTTATTTATTTGTATATTTATTTATTTTTTTGGTTTTTTTAAGACAGGGTTTTTCTGTATAGCATTGGCCATCCTGGAATTTGTTCTGTAGATCACGCTGGCCTTGAACTCAGAGATTTGCCTGCCTCTGACTCCTGAGTGCTGGGATTAAGGGTGTGCACCACCACCTCCAGCTTCTATTACTGAAATTTCTTACCTGTCTGTCTTCACATCCTGAGTAACACCCGACCCTTTCCCTGGGTCCTTGTACTAATCAGTGCTGCTGTAGAGATGCTGAGGCATCGAATCCTCTGTATTTTCACATCTGCCATTCTCATGGGAATTTGGAAAACAGGCATCTTTACCTGCTGAGCCACTGCACCTTCCCTGTCTGTCTGTTTCCAATTATGTCGTAGGGATTCACTGTCTATTTTCCATACCTTTTTATCGGAAACTTCGTTATGTGTTTCTAAGGACTTAGTTTATTTGCAGTCATTTTATTGTTAGAATCTGTTAATAAATGCTCCCTCAAACTAGTTCTCAAACATTATAAAAACTTTTGCTTCCTCCTTCCTCTCCTCCTCTCCCCCTGTCCCCCTTTCCCCTTCTCTCCTTTTTAAGGACTGTTCTGGGGGAGGGAGTCTTAGTTCAGTATGGCTCTGATTCACAGCTTAGAAGCCTCGGCTGGTTTCAGAGGGGGTCCTGGGAATGTTTTAGGCTGTAAGTTCAAAGCTGGGAGCTGCATACATAAAGTTGATGACTAAAGCCATGAACTGGGCAAAGAGCCTAGTGAGTGAGTCTAGGTGGAGAAAAGGGAGTGGTCTGGAGGACAAGGCATGGGACCACTTTGGATGCAGTCTCTGAGGCTTGGGGGAGTGGGTTAGGAAGACAGAGGGAGCAGCTGGTGGAGGTGGTGGCAAATGGAGAGAAGGCAGGTGAAGAGTCACACACAGAGGGGAGGGCAGCTGGGTCAAATGAATTTCCTCAGGTGAAGAACAAAGGACCGAGAGATGAATGCAGCTTTGGCTCCTGAACCACAAGTGACTGTGATAGTTTCCAGGAAAGACAGTTAAAACATCTTCCCACATCCATGCCCTCCTCCATGAATGCCAGACACATGTGTGTGTGCATGAGCATATGCACACATATGTTAGCAGAATCTGCTGTATGTTCTGGGTGCACTTGCACAGCTAGTCCCTGAGCTGTCCCTCAGCCTGGTGAGCGGGAGGTCAGTGTTTTTTAATCAAATGGGGGCCTCCTATTTGGGGGGAGTTGAAACACCAAGACTTCCAAAGTTGTATGGTCAGGACCACGTCAATAGTAAGGTGGCCCGTGCCTCTAGTGTTTAGGACTGTGCTGGGTTTGCATCTGCATGCATTAGCTCAGGTCTCCCATTCACCCCTTGAGTTGGATATCTCTTTTTCCAATTTAATGTGCTGAGAGGTTCCTGAGACATTACATTTAATTTTTTTATTTTGTCATTTACTTGTAACATTTCTGAAGCTTTCTATCTGAGATTTCATAATTCTGTATTTTTGTTGTTGTTCTTGTAGAAAGGGCCAAATAAAACACCGGTAGCAGCCATCTGCCTGACCAGCTTGGTGACCATGGCCTTTGTCCTTGTGGGTCAGGTGAATGTTCTGGCGCCAGTTGTCACCATCAACTTCATGCTGACCTACATCGCGGTGGACTATTCCTTCTTCGCCCCTCTCCATGACTCCCTGCAGTCTCCCCCAGTCTCCTGAAGCGGTGCCCAGGAGAAGGTCCAGATGCTCTGCCCTGCTCTGAGCACCTGCTCCAGGACAGGGCTCCCAGCTACGGCTCCGGCACCCCTGCTGGGAGCCTCCGAGGGTACCCTGCTAGAGTTCACCAAGGACATGGATCAGCTGCTCCAGCCCACAGAGAGGCATGACAGTTGTCAGCTTGGGTCAAGACAGGGAAACTGGGTCCCGAAGAGGCAGAAGGGGAAAAGCAAGAAAGCCGCCAAGCGAACCCTGCGAGATAGCTTCCTCTTGGACTTGGGGTCTCTGTCCTTTCCTGCAGGAGCCTCTGGCGGGTTGCCTGCTGCCTCCTGGGAGGAGCAGGAGTCCCATCACAACCAGCAGGCTTCTAGGAGTGAATCACATGACCAACTTGTCCCAGATCCGTGCAACCAGCCTAGAGGGAATGGAGAAGGTAAGTGCTTTGGAATTGTGCTGGGGACTCCTATTTTGGGGTGACCACTATTTGCTTCCCGTAGCCCAGTTATTATACCCCAGTTTCCGTAACTTTTGGCAATTTTAATATTTATTTCAAAATGTTAGAATTTAGGTGCCAGTTAAATTATTTATAATTCTACCCTGTTATTTATACACTAGCTCATTTTAGACACAATTTCTATTTGCATGTATAATAGCTAGGGGCCGTAGTTAGAAACTGAGTGTCATTTTCCTTTTAGTTAAAATTCAGCTGAAGCTTAAACGCCGCGAATCAGACTAAGTTATCCTTTGCCGGGGACCCTTCTGAATGCAAGGACTCACTGGGTTTTGTCGGCAGAAGAGGACTCTCTTAACACAGGCAGCAGGGATGAGGGGTGGTAGTAAAAAAGAGTCTAGCATTTCTTAAACCTACAAGGACAGTGTCACAGAGAAAGTAATTATAGAACATGAGACATCCCGAGGGAAAGAGAAAACATCACCTTTGAGGACCTGTCATAGCCTAGTGCTGTATATCTTGCTATAGTTTTGATCCAGAATGTTGTCCAAAGGTCCATGTTAGATGCATGTCCCCGGGATGGTGCAATAGTATTATTAGAGCCTTTAAGGGGAGGGTCCTAATGGGAGGTCTTCAGGTCGTCGGTGGTATGCTGCTCAAGGCCATCTGGGGCGCTGGTGCTCTCTTTGTTCTCCTTAGCTCTTTGGCCCATGATATAAGCAAGTTTTATTCTATCACACGTCCCCAACATGGTAGGATAACTCTGCTACAGGCCCAAAGCAGTGGGGCCAGCTAGTCATGAGCTGACACCTCCAAAACCCTGGGCCAAAACAAACCTTTTTGCTTTAAAAGCTGGTCAATTAACTAACTTTCTATCATGATGACAACATGCCCGAGAAAACGGCTTAACGGGGAAAATTTTATTTGGGCACCATTTCAGAGGGTTCTGTCCATATCAGTTGACACCATTGCCTGTGGCAAGGATGAGGTGTCACAGCAGAAAGGCACAGCAGGAGAAGGCTGCTCACCTCTCAGCAGTCAGGAAACAGAGAGGAGAACAGAAGAGAACCAGGGACAGGATATAACCTAGTAACACACTGTCCAGTCAGACCCCACTTCCTAAGGGCCTATTCAGTACAGACTCATCAATGAATTAATTGATTCAGTCACCCCCCACCCTCCACCCCACCCCCACCCCCTGCCAGTAGCTCTGCCTGGCTGGGCCAAGCCCTCAGCAGATAAGGCTTTTAGGAGGACACTTCCCTATTCAGATCATAATTGATTGAGTCAACCATCTCTTGTGTTTGTTACAGCAACAGAACCTGACTCATACATGTCTATCACTTCATGTAGTATAATAGATACCAGCATCTTCCTATTCACAAATGAAGACTTCCAGTGAAGTCATAGACAAGTTTGAGCAGACTCTTTGCACAATTTGATATCACGTGATCTCCAGGTGACTGTGTGTGTTTGATGCCTACATACTTTGCGTTATGCCATCTCTGTACAGATAGGCATGGGCAGAGGATGAGACAGAGGTCATAGAAAGAGACATCTAAAAAAGAGCATTGTGTTCCCCTACCAACTAGCTTTTCCTTCTTCTAACTTGGTGTAACACTTTGAGTGGTAGGAGTGTTATTAAAACATAAAGCGTTATTTTATTTTGATCAAAATCATAAGTGTATAGTTTAATAAGTCAAATGGCATTAAAAGTCACACTGTCAGAAACAGTGGTTCCCATATTCTCATACTGTCCTCCTTTATTCTTCACAACCCCCAGCCCCACACTCCCACTGAAGAACTTAAGACACAGCTGAAAAGTTTCTTCATCTGTTAGCCTTTCTGTGATTAGATAATATATTTGTATTGCTCCCCTTTTTTGTTTGTTTGTTTTATGAGTCAGAGTCTCACTGTGTAGCCCAGGCTAGCTTAGAACTTGTAGACCAGGCTGGCCTAACACTCACAGAAATCCCCTGTCTCTGATCCCTGGGCTCTTGGGATTAAAAGTTGTATGCTACTATGCCCAGTAGATTATAAACAATCCCTTTTCCACACATCAGAGCTAGCGATGTGTGTGTGAAGAATTTCCAGCATTATGAATTTTGGGGGTAGGCAGGAGGACTTTCACACTCAAAACCACAGGTGCCAAATACACAGTTGTATGGCATCAGCTGCAGCTAGAGTTCAGGCATAAGACAGAGGACATGGCAATCTCAAAACCCTCCTCAGACTGGGAACTGGAGAGTTGAGGAAATAAAGACACCAGGGAACTCTCTGGAAATAATGCTGGAAGGTGCCCACAGCTTACTGTTCATCATGAAGGGAATTCAGAGCACAGCAGCAGTATTCCCCAGATACATACCATCTTTAATGTCAATGAGACTGGCTCCCGAGTCCTGACCTCACTCTCTAGCCTTCCCAGATGTTTTCAGAGATGCATTAAAAAAAAATCTTAGTTAAAATGCACTCAATATATAATAATTACTATCTGAGCCATTTTTAGCATACAGGTTAGTGTTATTAAGTATATTCATGTTTTAGTTAGATAGCTACTACCATTGTCATTCCCTTCTGATAAAACTGAAACCACATCCATAAATCAACAGCTGGCATTCTCTTTCAGTGAGCTCAGTGTTGGGCAACATATGCTGCTGAGCCTACATCCTTGTCTTACATTGACTCAGATCTCTGGAGTTCGAGGCCACCTGGTCTCACAGAATGAGTTGTAGGACAGCCAGGGCTTCACAGGAAAACCTTTTCTCAAAACAACAGCAGCAACAATGTTTTTGTTAAATGGACACAAGCTAAGTCACTTGGGAAGAGCCCTCAATGGAGAAAATGCCTCCAGCAGATTGTCCTATAGATTAGTTAATAATTGTTGTGGGAGAGTTCATTTGGGTGTGGTGTCACCCCTGGGCAGGTGGCCCTGAGTTGTTTAAGAAAGCAGGCTGAGAAAGCTACAGGAAGAAGCCAGTGGTCAACTCTCCTCCACGGCCTCTGCGTCAGTGCCTGCCCCCAGGTTCCTGACTCGAGTTCCTGCTCTGGATTCCCTTCAAGATGAACAGTAAGCTGTAAGATGAAACAAATTCTTTCCTCCCCAAGTTGCCTTTGGTCCTAGTGTTTCTCACAGCAATAAAAAGCAAGAACAATGACTAGTCCCAGTTTGCCATCTCTGAAGTTTTAGGACATTTCCTCCTACAGCCTCTTAGTCAGATTTTTTATTCAGGAAATATAAAGAACATTCTCATGTTCTTTAACCTGGAGACTGAAATGGGGATGTGCAGGGGTGCTCTTGACTTCAGATTTAGAGGGCTGAGGCTGAGGAGCTCCTTATTTAAAACAAACCTGATGAATCCTCTCACTAATTTCTCAATGTCTCCGGTTCCCTAAGGACAAGTCCTTTCTATCTTTTTAGGTTATGTTTCCGTGCTTTGAGATCCCAGGGTCTCACTATATAACCCACATTGGTTTTACAATTATTATATATCCAAGGCTGGCTTTAAATTCAGCTGGGCTTCCCAGTGCTGGGATTGGAGTTGTATACCCAACAACACCTTTATCTCTTTGGAGATTTCCTCCTCTCTCCATCATCCATCATGCTGATATTGTATATATTTTTCTTTATTCCACAGCATTTTCAAGTATATTATGTTTATTTCTTTAGTTTACTTTCCAACTTTCTTTTGCTGGGAAACTGTTTTTTCTGTTCTTGACAGAGCTAAAACTACATAAGACACGTGAGCCAGCTCACTTCCCAGGGTGCTGCACACACAGACTCTGGCCCAGCCAAGCCTCCTGCTGCTGCTGCTGTTCATGGATTTCCTTGATAATTTTCCGCAGCTCTGCCATCCCCCCCCCCCACCTTGTTAATCAGTGCCCTGGTTTCTTGTCATCGTGTTCTCTTTTCTGGAACATGTCACAAATTTCTTTCCCAGTTTTTCTGGTGACTTGGGTTTTAAATGTTGCTTGCTGTGTCAGTCATAATGAGGCTTGATTACCAGTAACAAAGTCACAAGAGAGTAGTGATTTAACCAGCCTCCTACAAAAGAGCCCGAGGTGGATGCAGCAACTCCACAGCCCTGAGTGGCTGGATTCCTTTTTCTTTGCCACCCACACTTTGCAGATTGTCTTGTGATACAAGGTGGAGCTGCTGGAGCCTTGCCCTTACATCACATCCAGGCTGTACAAGAAAAGAAAGGAAGAGGCACAAAAGACAAGCCTCCAAACTGTGTCACATGAGGCCTTCCTCGAAAGCCTGTTCTGCCTCCCATGTTGGTATTTAGTCACATGATGTGGCTGATACAGCCTGCGAGGCGGGCTAACAGATGCCTTTTTCACCCAGTGTATTGCTGCTTATAGAATGATGCTTGGCTTTTGAGTTCTTCACCAGGAAGGGGGTGAGGTGGAAACCACCAGTCTGGGCTACGTTGGTCTTTTTTAAATTTCCAAACATTCCAGTTAACCTGACTTGTCTTTATCTTCATTTTTTCTTACTTTGAATATTTTCCATTGTTTGTTTTATGGATATAACTGGTTCTATTGTATCCTTGACATATATCATTCCTTTTCCCTGTAAAAATATTCCTGCTCTGGAATTTGTTCCTATTTTGTCTAGATTCTTTTCCTTTGGTATCCCCAACCATCCTCTCCCCTCCCTCCCTCTCCCCTCCCTCTCTTCCTTTTTCTCCCTCTCCCTCCTTCCTCCTCTCCCTCCTTCCATCCTTCTCTCTTTTATTGCAAAGACATTTTCAAAACATAGTTTTTTTTTTTTAAATATATCACATTCCTATCACAGTTTTCTGTCCATTATCTCCTCCGAAGTGTTCCCCCTCCTCACCCATCCAACTCCACACATTTTCCTTTCTCTCTCTAGAGGACAAATGGCCAATAAAAAAAACCAAACTAGAATAAAACAAAGCAAACAAACAAGGGAAAGGGGTGTGAAGAAAAAGCATGAGAAACACACACACACACACACA